GACTAAATCTTAGTTTTATAAAGCAGTTTAACCGGTGTACCTAGTAAAGTGTGCAGTTTAAACACTTTGCGGAATATTTAAATAAGAGAATTTAATTCCCATTAACCTCTGTACATTTGTCATGAATAAAAAAATTGACTATACAGACCAGAAATTTAAATCCCTGTGGGGGGTTGCGTGCTTTTGGAGGCATGCCCAAGTGGCCCTTTGAGGAGCTGGGATACTTTATGGGTGGTATTTGTCACTAATTTACAGTTTCGATTAGGCACAATTAAAAAGGCCATGTTTTTTTTTTTCTGGAATTCTTTAAGGTCACTAATACACTGATGACGAAGACACGACGACGGCTATATTTCAGAATTCTTCCAAGTCACTTTTATCCAAACAGCCCTGGGTTATCAATTTTTGACTTTCATTTTTACAGCTCTTACTGAACAAATCTGGGGATGTTTTTCAGGTATAAATTTAACAGCAGATAGTGTAGGGCTTAAGGGATTAAACTGCATTGCTGTCAGGACCTCTATAGTAAAAGGGAGGTTGTTATTTCCATCTGCAGTAATTTGTGTTTGGCTCTGTTCCCCAACTTTTCATAAACATGCAGAAAGCCAGACCAGAGGAGAGCAGCAACAGTAAGACCCGAGCAGATAGCAAAGCAGCCCTCATACTGACAAACAGCTATGACATCAGTAAAGTCAAACACACATGAGGGTGGAACTAGGAAGGAGGTGGGTTGCAAAGCAGCTTGCTTGCTCTGGGTAGACAAAAGAAACTTAAATAGTGTGCCCTATATAAAGCTTACAAACTGGCTGAATCTTTTGTATCAGACCAACTTCCAGAACGGGATTAAATTTAGTAATAACCAAGTAAATTTACTTACTGTAGTGCTACATCGAGGTATAGTGAAGAGTTAATTGTACTTTTGACAAATTCCATTTTATTTCCACATATCTTCATTTCAAATTTATAACACTTTTTACTCTGCTGCTTTTTTAGCTTTACTTTCTTTGCAGATTTAATAAAGGATGTGATAGGATGAGGAGCTCAAAGTAGAGCCGCTGCCTCTCCAAAACGAAATGAGTCAGCTTACATGGTTTAAATATCTGTCTAGGAGGCTTCCTGGACACTTCTTAGATTAGATATTTCAGGCCAACAGGAAGAGGGACCCAGCGAGACCTGACACTCGCTGGAAAGATTGTCCCTCGGCTCGCTTGGGAATGCCCCGGTGTCTCCTCTGTAGACCTAGACCTAGAGGCAGGGGCTGAGGAGGTTGGTGTGCTTAGAAAAAGGATAACGGATGCAGTCAGGAAATTAATCATAATACATTACTTGGTTTAGTGCGACTAGAAAATTATAAAGTAGCAAATGATCCCCATTTGTAACAGCTGCACCACGGATGAATGATTACACGCAGATGCAACAATAAGCATAATCTAATTCGGTGTTATTGTGAAACAGACTACCCTGCATAAATTACACTTAAGTTGATTTTGATGCTTAATTGATGCTCATACTCATGATACAGTCATATTTACTTTAACAGGGAGACGCTGGCATTATTTTTTTTTCCTTAATATTTTCCTCCCACACTTTTTAGAGTGCAGTATAACACAGAACTGCAGCAAATCTTCAAATTTGAAAAAGTGTAATTATCAGCAAATTGGCACTAATTGATTTGACATAACGATTTTTTTTAAATTCTCAAAGTGGTTAGTATCTAACTTTCTATTAAGTGGCTGATCATTTCGACCTTTGTTCTTTTTTTCTTTTCTTTTTTTTTTTTGACTTTATGTAATTTCGGCATTACGTAAATGTCACCTTAACGTCTGAGACCTGTATTAGTATGCGTTTGTCTCCACTATTGCATTGCATATCATAAGAGTCTCAGATTCTTTTGCATCATTTCTTTCTGTTAGAGTATACTTTGAAGTTCTCTCCAAAAGCAGCATTGCTGATGGTGTGCGTGCTCTGATGAATGATTTAGACATCTGTCTGTTAAATGTCTCTCTTTTTTTTTTTTTTGCAAGAAGAGATGGGTATGAGCTCTTAGGCATACTGTAGCTGTCGCCGCGTCAGGGGTAATGAGGTGAGATGGGCTGCAACGAAGTGCTCAACCAAGCAAAACAAAGCCATATGTTTGTCTAAAGGTGCCGCCTTCTGGACTGTTTGAGATGTCATTGTTGTCGAAGCAGCGTGTTGTGTGTATTTGTCTCTGTCTGTTCTCTTGTTCCATCAAGCTCACTGTGTGTGTGGAGCAAACGCTAAATAAATGGCAGTCAGCAGCCACTCTGCTTCAGGCAGTAGCCCCGTTCCTTTAATCTTAGCCAGCCTCTCCCCCTCAGCTTTTTTTTTTTCTCCTTGTCTCTGACTAACCACTCTTGACAAGGGAAGTGCAGAGAGGTAGGCTGCCTGTCGGCTGCAGGGCAAATTTAAACAAACGAGAAAAATAAAAGAAGGAATACAAGACAAAAAAAGGGAAAAGTGACAGCTCTGGTACATGAGAATAATTACAGACTAGAGTGAAATTAGCACAGGCGAGAGGAAGGGAAGGATAAGGAGCACCGGAAAGAGCGGCAAAAGAAGAATGGAAATAGGTGCGCAGCTCGAGCACTTTTCTTCAGGTTATGGGAGTTGGTGGGAGCTGAGGGAAAATGCTGAGCATTGTATTCAGAGTCTAACAGGTGTAACAAATTCTAGGAGGTAGTCATTTGCAGAGGCAGCTGCCTATGTAGCTGCTGCTTTTAGTATAATAGAAATATGAAGAGGTGCCCAACAGGGACTGCATCCAGAATGCATGTGTTTGAAATGTAGAGTGGGCAAAGTAGAGGGAGATGAAAGAAAGAGGGTAGGCGAGAGCTGGATGCTGTCTACTACACTCGATATCCCTCTGTGGTTTTTCCTTAAAAGTGTATCTGAACTGGAGAAAAATTCCCCACAGAAACTTTAAATGAATTTCTTTCTGTGGTGAAGCATGTACATTAGTCTTAATACATCCTGTAAATACAGCCTGTAAATCAAGCATAAAGCAGCGAGAATGAGCACTTGCATTTTGACAGATAGCCTCAATTTCAATTAATAGGACCATTAAAGCTCAGAGGACAGGCTGATGGGTGCATTCATAGCCGCTGTGAGCAAAGAGCCAGTTCCCTCTGAAAAACATCACACGCACTTACTACAACTCTTGACATGCGCACCCCATCGCATCAAGACTTCTCCCTCTCTCAGCATTAACGGCAGACAACACAACAGCACACTCAAGGATTACCGCGAGAGGATCCGAGCTGATGGGGCCGCTGGCATAATTGTGATAAATGACGGCCTTTCGTCAGTGTGCCGCTCCATGGAGCAAAGAGCGCGCTGTTGTGCCGAGAACATTTCGGGAGGCTTCCATTCGCTTAACCAGTTCAGCATGAGGACAACATAAAAACATGCAATTTCCTGTGACTGCACAATGAGAGCTGATTGACTTTAATATAGTGGAGGTTTTGCAAGGAGGAGGCGATTATTTGCCTCTGAGGTCTCTTGGACTTGAATAATTTGGACCGACTCCTTCTGTGTGTGTGTGTGTGTGTGTGTGTGTGTGTGTGTGTGTGTGTGTGTGTGTGTGTGCGCGCGCGTGTGCGATTTTCTGCCAATAATGCCTCTTTGTAATGGCCAATGAACTGTCAACACTAGGCGACTATGAAATACTTTATTAGTTTGCGGTCTGTCCTGGAGGTGTAGCTGAAAACAGCTGTGGAATAACTTCACAGTATACACATGGCATATGTCCAAGTTCCACATGGTACACATAATGTGTACGAGAACCCAGGGGCTCGTTGCACCATGAGGAAACAAGGCACTTGACTGTACTGTACATCCTCTACGCCTGCCCCTCTGAGCCACACTCCAACGTTTGCCCGGCATCTTGATAAGTTTGTGAATGAATGGATTCACCCATTTTTGAAATGGAATTAAAAAGATGATTCTTTTTTTTTTTATATATAAAATGAAAAAAGACATTTGACGGTTGGATACATGGCTGGAATGAATGACACTTTAGGACAAGAAGAGATCACAAAAAACACGAGTTTTAAATGCATTTTGAACCTCTAAAGGGATTACTTACATTGGTATTCAGTCTTGGTAAACAATTTAGTAAAAAAAGAGCTGTACTGTACACAAAGATGACGCAAAATGCTCGATGCCCACCTTTAAGCCCAGCCGATGAAAGATTGCATTACTGCAAACAGCGTCTTTTGTAGCTGGCAACTTGACTTGCGTACATTTTGTTGTTTGTTAAAATTGCTGCTGGATGATTTAAACAGGAAACGTTGATACATTTGTATATTTGCCAGATGTTGAAGTGAAGTCTACCTAACTCATGTGCATTTAAGTTAGATAAAACATGCCATAAAAATTGTAAACAAAGTTTAGAGATGTTCTACGGTGATGCCCATGAGTCTGCAGGTTTTCACTCCAACTAAATGACAAAGTGACTGATTCCTCTCATTAACATTTTCTTTCAGACAAGACAAACTAGTACATAATATCAATGAGAGAACAACCTTGGTGCAGGGACCCTGCAGAATATATCTGGGAAGTCATGGGAAAATTAAATCTATTATAGAATACAAGAGGGGGGAAAAAATCTGAGATCCTCATCCTATTACAATATTGTGAAAAACTGTATAATTGTACCTCTTCGGGCATGTAAAAAAAGGAAATCTTAAAGTAGAATCACCTGCAATCGTGATTAGACTTTGATTTAAAGGGTCATCAGGTTGGACTGTGCATTAACATACTGAAGCACGGTGAAGAGTTCTTAGTGGTAGATGGCTTTTGAATGTTGGCTCTGTGGCATTGAAGGAAAAAAATGAATCACCACTTCTGTGTATTAAAGTTTTCGCTGTTTCTCTGCACTGTGAAGTGAAGTGAGAAAATGTACGCTGAAAGGTCAGAAGCTGTGTTTTGGCATCTAATGGTCTTTTGGCAGAAGAGAGTCGAGTCTGATTTTTTTTTTTTTTTTTTTTTTTTTTCCTGAAACCTCATGAATCTGTGCAACAAATTTCTGTTTCGCACCCCTAAAGGGCTGCAATGAATCAGTGATAGCAGATATTTATCAGGAAAGCAGAATTCTTTAAAAAAAGGGGGAAAAAAACAAATCTGACAATGCAATTCCACAAACGTGATGACAGCGAAATCAAGATTAAACCACGATGAACAATAGCAGACTTCAGCACACATTTCTGAAAAAGTCTTTACAATCTGACAGATGGGTTCACAGTGTTGACTTTTAAAAATACACATCCACAAATCACGGCACTGCTTTTAGAATTATTCTGAGCACAACAAGATGTGCACAAAGCCAAACTTGCCAAATGCAATTCCACAGTTCTGCATTATAACCTCCGCTGTTGTACTGAAATTCAGTACAGTTATCTGTTTGGATGTGATACCAGCGTGAATTTTCACTGTGGTTGTGGTGCACGCCTGTGTGCACGCGTGCACGTTCAGAGTGATTCTCTAAAGTTCATGGGAGATGAAAGAGGGTCCTAAAGGCGTCGCTGTGGGCTCCAGGCTGACGTGGGAGAGCGAGTGGCTTTGAGAATGAGACAGTGTGTGATAATTAGAGGGAGGAGCTTTCCCCTGGGCCTGGCCCTCTCCCTGCTCTGTACCCGTGTTTGGCAAGGTCGAGTCTCCCGGTTCTGCTCCTGCCACAGTCCCGCCTCCTGCAGCACCGCGCTCCTGTTTATGTCTCTCCCAGGCTGAGTTCAGCTTCACAGCCAGAGCCAGCAGGTTCTTGCCCAGAAACACAGTGGACACGCGGGGGTCCCTATACCACAGCATCCCTGCACCCCTCAGGGCTAAGGTGAAAATATTGATAGTGACCAAGCTAAGCCAAGGGTACAAAGCCTCCTTGCGGGGTCCTCTCTGTCCTGGCAGACCAGTGGCTCCCAGCTCTGTGAGTGCCACACACGGCAGCAGCAGCAGGAGGGCATAGCAGTAAAAGAAAACCAGACCCTCAGCCCAAATGGGCAGCCTCTGCTCTACAATCCCTCCAGTACCGGCTGCAGACCCTCCTTGGGCTTCCCACAGCCCCGCCTGCAGGTCCAACACATCCAGCAAGTCAACCACCACCCAGAGGAGCCGGCCCCGCACCTCCTGCTTCCTCCGCTGCGGAGTCATGTGGTCAGCTCCTGTCAGGATGAGAAACAGGGAGGGTAGACAGATGGACAGCAGCAGCGTCAGGGTCTTTCTGGCCAGAGGATCAGGTGGCCGACGCTCCTGCCTGTAGTTGTGGCAGACGAAGAAGAGCTTGAGCTGGAGCAGGGACAGGAACAGGAACCAGAGGGCGTTGGCAAATCCACGCCGTGGCGACTGCGCCTCAGACACCACGCCAGCTGAGACGAAGCGCAGCGCGAGCAGGAAGCCCAAATCGCCCAGCAACACTGCCACATATTGCCACACGCTAGGTCCTGAAAGACCCCGAGCTCCCAGCATGCTCTGCTCCAGCAAGTAGAGGTCCACCACTGCCATCGTGCTCACCGTGACCAGGGTTGATACGCACACCTGGGGCGTAGGCACCATGCCTGAAAGAGAAATACACAGATGCACTGTGGGAAATCTGTTGCATCGACAAAATTCAGAGTCTGCTCACATCGATGTGCTTGGTGCCATCTGTCCCCAGTAAAGCCGACAAATCTGCAGGATAAGAACATGCTTGTTTTTTTGTTTTTTTATTCCTCCCCTGAAAACAAACATGTAAAACAATTTAATGCTGGTTGCTATGGTTAAAGACAATAGCTGCAGAGTAAGCAGTGAGAACCCTTCATCTTTGGCCAGAGCTACATCCACCCTGGCTGCTCAAGCTGGGAAGCCTATTAAATTGTTTTTTTTTCTTCCCCTCTGCAGCTCTTTGAATTAAACAGTCTTCATTTTCCATAAAGGTCCTAACATTGCTGCTGTTTCGGAGATCAGAGATTTTTTTTTCCCCAGAAGTTCTCAGCTGTTACTTTTTTCTGTTTATTGTTTCTGATCCTTTTTTTCTTCCTCTCAGCTTATTCATTATTAATTAATTGCATTCAGGCGCAGCTAGGTGCCCTGTCAAAGCCTTTTCTTTGTCTCTATAGCGTGCCGTGTTTATTCTCATACAGTGCTGCAGCCTTTAATCATCCCAAATTCCCCTATCATTTCGGATGAATATTGATATTTTTGCTATTTGTTCAGAGATGCGATCGTCTCGTGTCGTTGTGTACACACTGTGCATTCGTGTGAGTGCAGGCTGGCAATGCTAATTTGGCTGAAAATGAGGTTTCACGTTATTTTGTCACAGCTCCTATCTCAGCCACAGACAGTATAAACCCCAGTATTGATTTCAGCATGAGAAATAATCACTGACTTTACAGTGCAGTCGAACCAATGTCTCTTTATCGTATTTAGCTGAAAAGCACAGCACACACCACTGGACTGTCTGTTATCTGCCCAGCACCACTCCCGGGTGTCAACCCATCAACCGGATCGATGGCATTATAATATAAAATCATTACCAGCTCAGATGTGTCCTAACAGCAACAGTTGAGCGTGATCGAGCGAGAGATTGTCAGCATGATCGCGGCCTCTGAGAAAAGTCTCTCCGTGAAAAATGTGTATTGATATCTTGCCGATGGAAGACACATCACTTCCCCCACTGTAAGACTAACAGGAGCTCTGCCATCGTTGAAGAGGGCTGAAGAACTCCACTGGGTAAAAAAAGGGTTTTGAGATTGTGTGTGTGTGTGTGTGTGTGTGTGTGTGGGGGGGGGGGGTGAGAGAAAGAGGAGAATAAGACTGCAAGTGAAAGATTAATAGGCCTTTTGGCTGTCTACATGCCTAATAAAGTGTTACTGCATGATGGTAATAGTTCATAAATAAGCTCAGGAGGAGAGGGGGGGGAAGCGATGAAGAAGGAAAAGAGTCAAATGCAGATAGAAAGTGACTTCCACCCACTTACATGAACGCGTGCGTTTCACGAGCCTGCTCGGTCTGGATGAATCCAGATGCATTCATCACGGCGACTATTGAAGAATCACAGACATTAAAGGTTTGTTCTGAATCCGATGAATCAAAGAGATGAGGAAAGGAACGATCTCGACTGATTAATCTCCCCGGAGGGACGGTGGGAGGACAGGCGTGGATCATGCCAGCAATGTCTGATTGTCTGTGAAGCCTTTTGTCTCACCGCACACGGAAACTTGATTATCAGTTCCACAAAATTGAATAAATTTCACCAAGCCGCAGATTGAGAGGATATTGGAATTTAAATTTGTTTCCTGGGGGACAACCCCAGCCTGCAAGGAGAGGAGCAGGAGGAGGAGGGTTGAAGAAGTTCACATCTACAGTTGCAGCTGGCTTTCAGGAGGTCGTGGCTTTCGGGTTATTCCACAGGCACCTTAAATTTTTACCCTGCAAATCTATCCGTCAGCCGGCGTTTATGTTTTGACTCCCTGTCAACGCGGTGTAATTTATTCTGCTCTGAGTGAGAGACCGGGATGACAGCCCGCGTGTCCACTCAGCTCATCAATAATGACCAAATTCATCATTCTGCTGTCTGGGAAGTGACACTGCTGTTGACAAGGTGAGGCAGCCTATTCCACTGTAAGCATGAGTGATGGCACATAATAGTGTGCAGCTTAAATACTTGTGTATTAGCATTAAAAATCCATTTTTTCCCAGAAATGTATCCACCTCTTGTCTTCCTCACATAAGGCATGAGTGCACACCCTGTACACTATTGAATAGGTAATCATCCAAAAAGCACTTCAATTCTTTCCAACACACACACACACACACACACTGACGGAAATGAAGCAAAGGGGGTGGGGTTGCCACTTGCATTTGTTTCCTATTAATACTAGGTGATTCCCGGTTGAACACAAATGCATGTAGAGCAAAGATTAATTTGTCTGCACCTACAGATCATCTCCATAAAACACCCACCGCGGAGCAGTAATTTCCCTCACAGACAAATTCTTCACAACTTATCACAGGTGGCACAGGAGCACCAAGGGCATCGGGACAGCATCTGAGCCATTATGTGCAAACCCATTAATTAATAGAGTCAGAGGTGAGCAGCCTCTGATAATGCTGAATAAATCCTCTCCCCAGACATTAAAACATCTGTTGATTTATCAGGTAACAGCCCCAGAGTTTCCCGACGGTCTCTCTGTTGTATTTCTACACAGTTAACACATTTTTCTTTTCTTTCGGGTTGAAATGTGGTTATTTGGAGCTGCCCAGCACGCAGCGCTGCCTTGAGACGTCCTGCATCCTTTAACGATCTCTATTAAAGCGCTTCTCTGCAACACCTGTTTCATAACCGCCCCATTAACAGCAGGTATTGTGGCTTCATCCGAGGATGCCTGTTAGTAAAGTAAAGCAAAGCTTTTAGTTACCCAAACCATTCGTCTTGTACTTGGGCTCGATCTTCCTGGCTTGATTTACAGCAAGTACTGAGGGGTTGTTTTTTGTTTTTTCCACCCCGTTTCCTCCGCCAAGTAGAAGCGCTGTCGGTGACCAGTAAAGTCTTTTTTTTTTTATTGTCGCTGATGAGCCGCGCTCGGCGATAAAAGTCTTATTCTCTCAGCACGGGTGTTTGTATACAGTCAGGCATCAGGAGGGGGGCTCAGGGAGAGGCTGTAAGAGGGCAAAGTCACCGCTACTGCCACACCAAGCAGACTCGAGTTTGAAGGAGCAGAAAAAAAAGGAAAATAAAACGAAACGACTCGTACTTATCAAGATTTCCTCCTCCGTGCAGATCTGGCATGGCAAATCTCTCCTTCTTCGGGCTGCATCCGCGGCTGTTGCAGAGGCTCGATCTGGGTCTGTCGCCTCCCGCAGTGTCGGAGTCTGCTGCTGTCGATTTATCTTTTGAAATAGCAGCGGGGGCAGAGAGCCGTGCAGGGCTGCTGCTGCTGCTCGGCCGGGCTCGGGCTGTGCGGAGCAGCCGGGAAGTCGGTCAGAAGTGGAGCATCAGCGGCGAGGCGATCCCGGCCGATGCTCCCGCGAAGATGGCTCGTGTGAAAAGAGGCAGAGCGGTGCAACAGCGAGGGGAGGACGAGGAGCAACTCACTCACGCTGTGTCCGAGTTTGGTTGTGGTGGTAATTTGTAAGCAGGCTACGTGCTCCAGCACAGACCTCCCACCCTCCCCCGGTTTCCCCTCCTTCCCTCCACCATCAGCTGTGGAAGTTTATCTGGAAGAAGATGCAATGCATATTTTAGAGCACTCTGTCACACCACAGTCTCTGCTTATGGTAATAATGATGATGATGCCACTTGGAGAAGATTAGTTGCATTGTTTGCGAGCAGGCTGATTCCTTATTTACCCTTCTTTGCCTGAAATAAGAGCGGAGGAAGTGGAGCGAGAGATGCTTATAGCCTGTAGACGCATTTAGAGCTCAGAAGGCAGATGTTACAAGTTTAATTAGGCTTCCTTCTGTCTGCTTACTGTCTTAGTCACACAAGGAAATCATTCCTCTGTTGTAGATTAACTCATTACAGCCGGCTTAAAGAGAAGGATTGGGAATTTTCTGGGACGGATCTGCTCAAAAATGAATCGCTTGGAAACTGTTTAAAAATACAAAAAAAAAGGCGTGTGGCTCATTTCCATGTTGGAGAATTCAATTTCAGCTCCTTTGTCAGCCGCAAATGAAGTTTGAAGGAATTTCACAGTGTCACGTTGTCCTCAAGGTCTTGCTCCTTCGAGTGTATCTGTTGGCACCCCAGCCTGCACTTTGAGCAAAGGCTCGGGTCCTCGGCTCTCTCACTCATGTGGCTCTCAGCGTGCTGGGTTCATAGAGTGAGAGGTTTAATCAGACTGGTGAGAAAAGGGATGGAGAGTCATCCTTCTTGTCAGATTCAGCTCTGCGCTCCGCTGGCTTCCAAGAGAGAAGAGATTTTCCATTTTCCTCACTTCAGCGTTGGTTTTTATGTGTGTGTGTGTTCCTCACCCCTCCTTTTGTTACCACTGCCTCTCTGTCACCCCCGTTCTCATGTTTATCCTATTCTCTCCTCCATTCTGCAACTAACCCCCCCCCCCCTTCTTTCTTCCTTTTCTTTTCCTTCCCCTGTGGGTGTGGTTGAAGGTCACCGTGCACACTGGCTCACTTTCACAGAGGAAAGAGGGAGAGTGAAGCAGGAAAAAGGACGAGGGGAACAGTGAGAATAGCAGAGGAGCGTGAGGAGCGGGAAGGCTGTCCACAGTACTGTGCACTCATCACTTTTTTGCTTTAGACATGATTGGAGAAGTTTGGAAGGACACATGGGCTCGCAGACTGTCCAAGAATGCTTAAGGCATCAACAGCGAGCCATGGTCCGCATGCTGACCTCCACAAACATGGCTTTATCCTCGATGTCATCTCACGACCTGAGACGTGCTTGAAAAGAATGCACCACTTCTATAATCAAAGTCAGTACAGCAGCAGCAGCAGAAGCAGGGATATTGTCTGTTTTATTCCACACATTTGTCTTTCTTGTCAAAGCCAGCACCTACATTACCCACAATTCAGCTTTATTGCCAACAGTTGGGATTCAGTCATGTTCTGCAGGTTGTGGCTAATGAAGCCTGGAGCTGCCGGCCCCCAGCAGAGATGAAGAGTGGGCTGCACAGGTTCATGTTTCCCTGGTGCCACATCACCACATTGCTTAATCTTTAAAGTTCACTACCGCCTTTTAACTCAAGAGACATCTTTGCAAAATATAACTCTTTGGTCATTTTTTTTAATATATAAACAGTGGACAGTTTAAAAAAAAACAAAAGTTGGGTTGTTGTTCACATGTAGAACGCAGGAGGAGGCATGTTCTCGCTACTGGCTCCATTTTTTGTTTTAGGCTGCCTGTGTAGAATGCACAGGGGGCACACACTGGCTCACTGCGAGCTCACGACAATTACCTAATCAATTCCTCCTGGTTGTGGACGTCACATGGACTTTGTAATGAGGAGCTGGCTGCATAAAGATCATTAAATGTCTGCTCTGGCCGTGCTGGGCATTTGTGTTCTCAGCATAGCTGGATATAGCCTCCGTGAATTCACTGGATAGTGAGCTTCACTTGTGAGGCATTGACCTAAGCCTTGCCGGCCATCGTCTCCTTGGTGTTTTTGAAAATGAACTTGAAAAATGAGAAGCAGCTGTGACAGAGGCACACTTGCAGAGACTTTTCCATAGCAAGCTGCCACGCCCTGAAGCTAACTCTGCTTTGTTGTTTGTTCTACATGCAACCAATGTATATTTGCAGGTTGCAAGGTGAAATTGGTTGCAAAGACCAAAACAACAACAAAAAAGCCTCCCTGTGTTTGCTTTACAGGTTGTCATGCACACCAAACTAATCTCCAAGCTCTAGAATTGAGAGAGTTGGCCTTCAAAGTAAAAGTTTCACTCTTTGAATTGTCTTGGTTTCAGCAGTAAGCAACAACTTTTATTTTGAACAATCACTTTGCAAGTAGTTGGCAATTGTTTGCAGACGAGTCTTCTACGCAAACTGCGGGCAAGCACTCCAATCTGCTACTAACCAAGGCAATTGCAGTGAGTTTTTTGATGCAGCAGCGTATATATCTCTGCCACAGAGTTTACCTACTGACAGTCAGCAACTTGCGCCAACCAGTTGTGACTCCCCAGTCGGGAAATGCACATTTCTCCCTACAGATAGGTGGCCCCCAGAGGGTCACTAACTGGTCTGTAGGCCTGCATGATTGTGGCTTAGTAATTGAATCCAGTGGTTCCTGGAGTTTGTTTCAGCAACCGATTGCAGCTAGTTAAGACTACTCATTTTTCCCTAGCAACCAGTGTTTGGTAGGAAGGCACCAACTGGTCTCCAAGTCTGTGGGACTGGATGGGCAGTTAATTTTGTTTTGGAGGGCCGCACCAATAATTTGAACTCAATTCTGTCCAATATTGTTTCAGTTCACTTATAAGCGTATTGGTGCGGCCCTCCGCAACAGTCCCATTTTTTTTTTTATGGAAAGATTAATTGCACAACCTTAGAAGACTTAAAATTAGGGACCGAAACCATAAAGTCATCAGGAGGTCACTGATCAAGTGAACAAGTTTTCTTATCTCGGTATACTTTTTGCAAAAAGGGGAAACCTCTCTTTTCTGGCTCTTGGAAAGAATGCAAATTTAGATCAATTGCACAATAACTTTATCTTTTATATACAGTCTGTGGTTTCCCCATCCCGCTGGGTAATGTCTGGAAAAGTTCATGCCTGCAGTGCATGTGCGAAAAATGGCTTTTATCAGCATTCGCCTTTAAATAACCCCTCTAGAGTGCAAAATTCAATACTGGCTTTCTGAATACTCCACAAGGACAACGCTACTTTTGTCAAAACATTGCTATCAGTTTTTGCTGCAGTCTTATTTTATTCCAGCCTCTGATTTTCTTTCTCTGAGTGTTTTGCCTCCACATGTCACGGTATCTTGTGATTTTTCTCCAGCGTGGAGCCACAGCTGCGTGCAGTTCAGGCTTCCGCGTTCTCGCTGTAGTCTCCACACGTGATTAATCATGTGAAGTGGCAAAAAGCACAACAGTGTCAAGACTGTGAGGGGGACCTAATGGAGTTGAAAATGGGATGTTTTGTCGTGATGCAATCCATTTTGTCGCACCGCCGCCTGCTTTCGCTGTGCCCTCAAACAGCAAATTCTTCTTCTTGTGCCAGGTACAAAAAGTAAAAGCCGTGTCTATTTTAAGCAAAGAGCCACACAGCAAAAACACCACTGAGAAGTTTTGGCTTTTTTTTTTTGCTCTTTGTAATTTGGTTCACTCTGTCAGTTCTGCACTCGTGCTCGTTTGAGGAGCGCTCCTTAGCCCCTTTTGTGCGGGCCTGTATCCTTGCCTCAGCACAGTTCACTGGAGACTGGGGGTGAAAATCGTTTTTATTTTCCACTTTTAAGACTAATCCACTCACTCTGCTGTGGAAAATCAAGTAAAATGCATGTCCAGCGTGAACTTAATTTAGTTTGTGCTGTTTGCTGTGTGCTGCTGTGTCTGTTAGACCTAAAGTGGCCTCGTGCTCAGCCTCTCGCTCTCAGTTACCCTGCAGCGGAGGGGTTCAAGATGAAACCTAATCAGCTGTATGACGCTACAGCGGGGCTGAATGTGATAAAATGCCAACACCGGAGCAGATTAAATGAACGAGTTAATGAAGGTAATGAATGAGAGTGTTTCACACTGAAGAGTTTAATTAACCTCGCCTCCCACCACCCTCTCTCCACTGTAACACCTTTGTCACTGTATCGCAGCCCTCTTCTGTGCCGACCACACAGGGGCAATTTATCGAATGGCCTCTTGTGCCAGGGGCAATAAATCCTCCGTCCTGCCCCAAGGCCTTAACCTGCATCCGTACCCTTTATCTCCATGTTTGCCACGCTTCCATAAGCACAGTACTTTTCTTGACCTATTCTCTCTCTCTTTCTCATCTACCTCCAATCTTCTCCCTCCTCCTCTTCTCTTTTTTCT